AAAATGTATACAAAAAAATCATTGGTTTGTGCGAATTTTTCGGACTTACGTTGTTTTGCCTGATACATGTAAATCAAGTATTGGACTTAAGTTGTTTTGCATAATTTTTTTATCATTTAAAATGTGTTTCCGTGCATTTTTTCTTCATAAATATGTAAATCTTATATTTTGCAACTCAACTATCGCGAAAACTTGAATTTTTTGAAATTGTGACATGTGTCGTTTTTCCTTGCAACCACAGATATTATCACAATGAGATCAAGTTGAACGAACTCGTCGTGTGTGTGTGTGTGCGAATGCAATTTATATTATCTATTATGATGTACGCGCGATACCCGTCGTAAATTTGCCGGGAGAATCAACTTTCTCAAAGATACGTATCCGGTTAAATTTTGATATCGCTGAAATCGTACTTTTTCACGGGTATCCGATTCCAGCTTCATCATGCTTCACATCTGCGGTTTTCCTTCCGGGAATCTGAGCGTTGGCGGACGCTTCCAGACCCGGTAAAACGACCCGGAAATTCTTACATCGCAAAAAAGGAGAAATGCGAAAAACCGCGCGTCTGCTTGTTAACAGCACAAAGCGCGTAAAAAACTTGTCGAGCGTAAAATCAAATTATACGGCGTGTGTTTTTTTTTTCGCTGCGCGGCTCGAGGCAACTTTCCGCGGATTTGTTGTATTTTGTTTGTGTTATAAACTTTATAAATTAATACTAAAAACGATTCGCCACGACGAGGTTTATAGTAATCCGTTCCACCGCAAGTGTGCATAATATCGACAGATATTTTATAACCGAGTGATACGTACTCAATTCGAGTCTCACAACGCTCGCGTGATTATCGCATTGAAATATTGTACTTTCGACCTGTGACGGAAAACATAAATCGATATGTCTCTCGAATCGAGCGTTTGGGAATCAGAACGGAAATATATTCTGCTTTTATAATTTTCTAAGTTTCCTAGTTTTTTTTTTTAATATCAAAAGAAATACACATATTTATGCATTGAATCGTTAAAATTTTTATATTTAACAATGTTCAAACTTTTGTTTTATTATTGTTTTATTATCAATTGACTTACCTCGATCGCCAGTTGCAGAGAACTCGAGAAAATCCTTCTTGACGCGAAGTCAGAGCGATCGGTCGTTCAGCAGACCGGAAGTTTTGGCGGGCGACGTGCTGTTCTCGGACACGATGCGCATCAGCCTCGGCAAGAAGCTCAAAGAATCGTCGCCATCGTTGTCCGATACGTCCGCAGTTTCGCACGAGGAAGTAAAATCGCCAAAAAGAAAGGAAGATCTTCGCGAGACGGAGGAGATCGACGAAGAAGCGAGTGCCGCCGAGCTTAAGGATTCCAATCTCCGCGATGCAAACAGAAACGTTCGAGAAGACTCCGAGAAGAGCGGCGACAATGTCGAGAAAGAGGCCGAGCCGCCGCCAGACGCACGCAGCGACATTTCCGACCTGAGCAACAACGAGCATTTCCGCACGATGAGACCCACGAGCTGGTCGCCGCCGCCCGGCAGGCAGCGGCATTGCTTCAAGATCGGCGACTCCAACGCGGAGCTGGACGACAACTCGATCAGGGATCACCGCCGGACGATTTCCTCGACGTCGACCGCGTCCTGGAACTCGACGAGCTCGTACGGATCCTCGAAGATCGAAATCAACTCGCCCGAGAGTAACGTTTGCAAGATCACGGTGAGTCCGCGCTCGTCGCCGCTTGTACATCGGTTGCAGATCGGTCCGGATTCCGGGCCGAAGGGCGCGAGGAGAACGTCGATCTTGATCAACGGCGATCACAACGCCAACGCGGAACCGACACCGGGTAACAAAGTGACCATCAGCGTCGGCGGTGAGGACAGCGTGTGCAATCCGACGGTGATCTCCGTGAACTCGGACAATCCGCCGAAGATTCAGAGCTCCGCCGAGAATCGCACCCTGGTGATACTCGAGAATTACAAGTCGAATATCGTGGTCGAGTCCGCGAGCGACAATTCGCGGCATAAGATCAACAATCGTATCGAGAACGCGGAGACGAATTCGAAGACGAACGACGAGGGTGGACCGTCGTTGTCCAGCGAGGAAACCTCCTCGCCGAGTCAACAACCGGCGACGAATTTCGAGAAACAGAATAGATTGAGCGTTGAGATCAAATCCTCGAATTCCAATCAGTCCGCGAGATTTTACACATCTGATGAAAAAACGACGCGGCCGGAAATCAAAGCGCGACTCAAGGACGTTGAAGCCTCCTCTCCCAAATTATCCGGATTATCGAAGGAGGCTCTGATCTCGAAGCTGCTCGACGATTCCCTGCGAAAGGCGCGCGAAAACGGCGAGATTCTCGACGAGGACAGCGGCCAGGTTATCGTGAAGATTCTGAAGCAGAGCTTGTTGAAGAGCAAAGAGTACGAAAGCTCCGAGTCCACCCTCGAGGCGAACTATTCGCGATCGTCCAGTCTGAACTCGGACGGCGGCGACTTCATCTCGACGAATCTCTTCCTCGAGGAAAACCCCTACGAGGTGATCAAGGAACCGATTTACGAGGAGATACCCGACGAGCCGCCGCCGCTGCCTCTGAGTCCGCCACCCACGGAAGACTACATCAAGGACAGAATATATTTCGGCGACGTCGAGTATTACAAGAAAGTCACGCCGAATCAATTCCTCGGCTCTTATCTGTCCGAGGAAGTTTTCAAAAAGTCCAACTCGGCGGATCTGGCCGAGGCCTACTTGTCCAAAAGTCCCGAGGACTTCTTCAAGAAGATGTCGACGTCGCCCGAGGACGAGAACAACATCTCCACCAAGTTCGAGCTGTTGAACTTTCTGATGGACTCCAAGGATCGCGCGCGACCCGCGGAGGAAGACGAGGACGAGGATGAGGACGAAGAGGACGATGCCGAGGGTGATCTGGAAGCTCTGTACGAGCAGAAGGAAACCAGCCTGGGCGATCTAAGCTCCAAGAGCTCGCAGATCTCGAACGTGTCCGACAGCAGCGAGGAGTGCAACATCATTCTGACGAACTCGCCGGAGGCGTTAAAGGTGAGGGATCAGAAGAAAGCTATTTAATTATTTTTGTATTGGATAATGAGTCGACACGATTCTTCTCAGTATGTTAAAAGCTGATTAACACGTGCGAGATGATTATTAGTCAAAATTATATTTCTTGTTTCTTGTTCTCTCACAGTCGAGAACGGTCGACATAGAGAGAACCGACAGCGGAGTCGGGTCCGAGAGCAGCCAAGCCAGCAGCACACGTGGTGTTGCGAGACGCTGGAGGTCGGGTAACGTCTCCTCCGGTCCCGGAAGTCTCATAAATGGAATGCCGCAAGTAATTTCCGGTGCCACGAAGCTGTGCGAGGATTGCGAGCAACGACTTGATCCTTTGATAACGGACAGGTAAGTGGCAAATAAAATCGGAGAAACAGTTTGTGCTACAGATTTTATGTACAACAGTTTGAATATGTTCTATTTTACATACATTATACTTACGTGTACACACACACACACACACACACACATACGATAAGAGAAACCCATCTTAATGGCAGCAATAAATGTATCTCGACGGTGTCGCTCGAGATGAAATTACGACGATAATTGTGTAGTCGACCTAAAAGCTGTCTCGAAAGGACGTGCCGATCTTCTCTTAAGACGCGTAAAAACTTTTTGCATTGAAAATTTATTTACACGATCGTTCGGAGAAATGTAAGGAAACGGTTTGCGCGGTGATTAACGGTTCTCTCTCTCTCTCTCTCTCTCTCTCTCTCTCTCTCTTATTCGCTGCGTTTTCTTATTCTCTTAACGTGCGAGTGATACATTCATGAGCGATATCGCGACGGATACATCGCTCTCGCATTTCTAGCATCGCGTCCTTCGCACGTCCCGTTCGTGTCGCCAAGCGCGGAACTCGTTTTTCAAACGCGCGACGACGACGACATCCTAAATCGTGCGCTGTTATCATTCCTAGACGAGTTTGCGAATAGCGCTCGGTGATCCGGAGAGAGAGGATATAACGGTTCGGAGTTCTCCTCGCTAGAGCGTGTCTTTCATCGCGCCGCGGCCGAGTTTCGACCGTGAGAGATACGATTTGTTGCGAGTTCCGCGCGAGGAATCGTTCGATTTGTCTTCGAACGATCTTTCTGAATCCACGCGAAGAAAATACCGTTCTGCGTTACGGACTTCGGAGTAAATCCGCGGATCGGGGAACGAATGTCGTTTTTGTTACGGTCGCCGATTTTTAATAAGCAAAAGATCCACCCGCACGAGACGAGGTCCGTTCTCGATAATTCTCCCTCGTCGTGAGAAACTCTCATCGCGAGAAGAAAACTTCTCTTCCGAACGAACGGGTCTGTTTAAAATTTGTGATTTAGATTTCTTTTAAAAAAAAAACGCTTCTCCTTGATATCCTCGTCAACTGTTTTCGTTCGAATCAGTCGTCAGATTTTTCTGCGTGTCATTTTTGCGTTCCGTTCCCGAAGCGGAAGGAAATTTAACGCGGACGCGTTCAGAATTTGCACTTCAGAAAAATTCGCGCGACTAGATTACGCGATGACAAGTGTGCGGTGCGCGAGAGACGACGGGGCCACTTTCTCCCGCTATCGATTTTATTTGCCCGAGAGCGAAAGTGTCGTTATCGACAAACGCAGTTTGACGCTTGATGAATGAACAATGCATATGTCCTGGCGAAGTTGCGCGACAGTCACTTTCATTTTACGATCATAGATTATGTACGCGCAAATTTGTAATGTCGCGCGTGCCGGTAGCGATCGCCGTTTCGACGCTCGTTCAATTGCATCCGCTTTCATCGACGGACAATAACATTTTCTACAAACTAAACGCGCGGGACATCGTCGAGAGAATATCTTCGTACAAAATTGTGTTATTTGTCTTTCTTGTTTCTCTCGTAGCGGCGTGGTGTACGCGCCTTTCGTGTGCAGGAAGTGTTCGAAGAAGCGGGCGGAACGCAAAGAGATCATCACGGAAATCGTGGAAACCGAGCAGAAGTACGGCAGAGATCTGCAGATCATTCTCGAAGAGTTCCACCGACCGATGCTGAGAGCGGGGTTGCTCACGTCCGAGCAACTGTCGGCGATCTTCCTCAACGTCGAGGAGCTGCTCGAGCACAATCTTGTTTTGGCCGAGAAATTGAAGGATAGCGTCGAACTTGCTCAGGTAAGGAGGAGTCAATTCGAAAATTTGAAATTTTATTTTTCTATCTGATTATTTTGTGTATTTTCACAAAAAAAAAATTGAGAAAGAAATTTATCGCCGCGATTCGTTTCCGCGACATATTTCGCAGGCATCTGGAGACGAGGATCTTTTGACGGTGGACGTGGGAAAGATTTTCCTCGAGTCGGAAAGGATGCTCCACGCTTTCGAAAGCTACTGCACGCGCCAGGGCGGCGCCAGTTTGTTGTTGCAAAATCTGGAGAAGGAAAAGGAGCTTCTTCGCATCTTCCTCAGGGTCTCCCAAATGGAAAACACGGTTTTGCGAAGAATGAATCTCAACTCCTTTCTAATGGTAAACTCTGCCGAACTAATTAGCCGATTAGTCTCTTTCTTCTCTACTTCAACAAAAACAAAAGTAGAAAGTCGCTTATAAATTGTTTATTTTTGCGCAAATCTTGTTTGACTTTGTAGGTTCCTGTTCAAAGAGTTACGAAGTATCCCCTTCTGCTGGCACGTTTGCTCAAAGCGACACCTTCTGTTCGACCTGACATTCAGGAAGCGAAGAAGAGACTCAAACAAGCTCAAACGAATATAGAATTACATCTGGAACACATGAATGCTGTAAGTATACTACTGGCAAGGGGTGTAGTTATTTAAAATGCCAAAAGCGCATATTTCATGAAAATAAATTTATATCTGTGTGATAAATAAATGCATTCGATTATAACAGGAGGCAAAAGACGTCACGTCCACAAAATTGTGGAGAAGAATATCAATCATTCAGAACGGCAGGCGGTCTATCGGCGAGCAAGATATGGTGAATATCAAGCTGAGAAAGGTATGTTATGTTGACATAAAGGACATAAAAACAATCAGTAGAATTAAATTATTGTAATGTATAAAATATTTTATTTGTAAATTATTTATTGAAACATATAAAGTGTAAACGTAAAATTATTGACGAGTAGATGGCCGTCGAGATTTTGGAATGGGCACACGAGGAAGCCAGGTTCATTCTCGAAGGCCGTCTTCTGGTGGCGCAACCGACGGACAATAATTGGAGACGCGGTCGAACTGTCAAACTCGCGCCAGTCACCGCCATGCTTGTCACAAACGGCAAAGTGAGCATATTGCAAAGAGTTTTCTCGCGATTACTTACCTGAGCGTAAAAAAATTTTGTATTATACGACGAGCCAAACTTTCTATATTTTTTTTTAGCCGAACGTCGACTATCCCGAATTCAACGACTCGCTATTTCCGAAGCACATCGGCGTCAAGGAAGCTACTCTACTTTTGGTCAAGGAGAAACTCGGACGATATTCTTTGTTACGCGTGAGTCGTCGTGTCATCCTCTTGTTGATCGCCACCTTGTGATATCGACCAATGCGAATTGTTTTTTTTTTTTATCTTCAATCAATTGCTTATTATCCTCATTTTTCAGGAGCCGCTATATCTCGACAAGTGCATCGTGTGCTGTGAAACGGATCTCGAGGATTATTTCGAAATACAGGAATTGTCTTCCAAAGAGACGTTTATATTCAAAGTAAGATCCACGAGAATTAACTCTAATATAATTTCAATTACGTTGTAATGAGATAATAACAGATTCTAATTAGGAGGAAACGATATCGATATAACGAACGAATGAATCGATTGCAGGCGGAAGACGGTGCGAGGACGAAAAGGTGGTGCAGAACGTTACAGGCACACGCGCAGTCGCTTGGTGCTTGGCGTAAACGTCGAGGAGCTCTTCCTAACATCATGATCTGCGGAGTGGCGAGAAATTAACGAAAACTCTTAAATACTCTACTAAGCGCGCATGGAATATTAATTATATCTGTCGTATTTAACGCGCGCAGAGCGATATTTTTAAGAGAGAATATATTTCCATAAGCTATATATATATATATATAAGCGTGAAAAATCCTAATGAGCGATCACATAAATTCGTGTATATGATCTCCAAGTGAATTAGTAATGATTTATTGAGAGATAGAAAGAGAGAGAAGGAAAGAGAGATAAAGGAGAGAGAACGCTGGACCAAAGGATTTCCTCGGCTCGCCGACGCGCAACTACTGTCGGCGAGTAACACGAAAAAAATCTAGTTCTTACCGAATCCAAGGTATATAACGTAACTCTGTGTGTATGTGTGCGCATTCGGTCGTCACAGTACGTTGCAGAAACTTGAATTTCCTACGTCACTGTGATCAGACCCGTAACGTCAAATCGCGCAGAATTTTATTTCCTAATTATAATAACGTTATAAGTACGCATATACATATAATATAAAATGTACGTTTATGCAAACGCATAAGACTATTTAATAATCTATATATGAAAAAATCTTCAGAAAAAAAATGACGAGTAGCTGTGATATCGACCGGTGTATTGGGTATCGTTTTCTCTTATGAATTTAACATACGCAGATTATTCGACGAGTGTGTCAAGGCAATTTAAACTGTGTCTTGTTTACCATCCGCGATGTTTTTTTTTATCAGTATCGCGTATTACAAAAAAAAAGCCGACAATAATAGAATAGATATATTTTTTTTTTTTTAGAATTGAGGTAATAGGGACTATATAAAATAATATCGAAGAATATTCGCGCGAATTAGCAGCATCATCATCATCATTATCATCATCATCATCATCAAAGATACAGGGTGCCGTGTATACGTTTCGTACAATCGAGCGAGCATCGAGAACTAAATGTAAAACTAAGAAACGCGTACTTTTCTTCACTTTTCACAGTTATTTTTTATTTCAAGATAATTAACAGTATTTTTACTTAGAGAGATCTAACAACAAGCAAAATGTGCAAGTTGTCAATTGTACATTTTATAATTTTGTATTTAAGAACTAAGCCATATACATTTTATATGTATATAAATGTATATTTACAGTCGTCTCTTTTACACACAGTTCTAACTGAAATTCACTGTAACGAATTAATCTGCTGCAATTACAAACTTGCGATTCAATAAAAGCGAAACATAAGTGTATTTGTATTTTTTTTTTTTTTTGAAATTATAAATCATCCTTTTAGGTTAGATACTCGCTTCTTCCGTCTCCGCATAATCCTCCACCACGACATTTCGCGTGTTCGACGAGTGCAACACACGCCGAGATGCGCGATAATCGTACAACTCGAGCTCCGGATGTTTCTCCAGCAAATACTTGTAAGCACTCGCTAGCCTGTCTATCTCATCCACGGTGAGTTGAAACGGTCTAATGGTCGGCTCTAAGTGAGACAATTTGAACATCATCAGACTCAATTCCTCACGGCAATTCATTGGAAATAAAGTCCTGTGAAAAAAAATATACAAATATTGTGATTCGTGTATAAAATATACACTATTTAACATTGCAAACTGTCGGACAAGCCTCAAACTCACTCCGCGCATCGTACGCTGTACTTTTGTCTGAAACTGAACATGTGTCGCGTTACTTTCTCGAAAAATTTAAAATTGTGTTGCGTGTGTGGTTTAACCAACGGTGTGAGCGTAACCACTCCTACTTCGACATCCGGCATTGGAAGGAAAGCTTTGCCTGCAAGATTACGAATTGAGATATATAGATTCGTAGAGATTTAAAACATAAAAAATTAACATATAAAAAGTGTGTTCAATTACTAGGTATGATAAAACGAAGTTGTGGATACGTATAAGCTTGCGCCATTACAGACAGCCTGCATCGTTGATCTTCTCCTGGTTGAGCCACCAAACGTTCCGCCACCTCTTTTTGAAACGTCAATGTCATTTTCGTCCTGCCGAACGTCCAAGCTCCTTGACGTTCGGATATTGCGTGTAGCCACTTAATTATAAGGTGTGTCGATACACTAAACGGTAAATTGCCTATGATACATATGTCCGGAGGCTTGTCGTCCCAGCTTCTTTTTTCTTCCATTTGAAATAGACTTTCCATGTTTGTTGTCATAATGTCTTCGTACAGTATATCCATCTTTCCATTAACTTCTGCAAATGATTCCGCCAGCATATCTAAAGTCGGTTTAAATCTGCGATCTTTTTCCACAACTACCACCCGTTTTGGCATCTGTGTTAGAATAGGCCTGGTAAGCGCACCTGGACCAGGACCAACTTCTAGTACACTTTTCCCTTCGAGTTTCCCTGCTTTTGATACGAGTTTCTTCGAGACATTTTGATCCATCAAAAAATTTTGTGACAATCGTTTTATAGCATTCAAATGGTATATCTTCAGTATTTCTCGGATGGATGGAATCAGTGGCAACGGAATAGTCATGTTGAAGTGATTTGTTATTACAAACACACGTATGAATATGTATAAAATATACTACAGAATCTCTCTTGCCAGAAAAGAAAATATTATCGCATATAACTTTTCTAATAATTTGTCTATAAATATTTGTACATAAAACTTCTTAACACAATAAGCTACAAGCTGTTTATGTACACAAGTAAGATGCTTTATTCTTTCTTAACTTTCTCTGGGATTTCAAAATCATCTAAGAATTTTTCCTGCTTAACAGAATATATTGTATAGGAGTAAATCCCAATGACGGTAAGACCCAAGGTAATAGCAGTAATGTTATTAGCTCTGCGATATCTCAGTACTCTACTTGCTCTTTGTCTGTTTTGTTCCTCCAGACGTTTCATGTAAACTATATCTGTAGGCCTGAGTTTTTCTGTATCTTTTGTCACATCAACCTTTGGCATAGTTTCATTTTGTTGAAGTTGACTATCTGCGAATACGGATTTATTAAATTTTCTTTATTTCAAAATGTTATATGTAATGTTTACTTTTTATTATTTACCAGATGCCATTTCCACCTACAGATGATTGATTATAACAGATATTAGTCTCTCTTCTTGCTGTCGCCTTTTTTTTAGAAAGAATCTACCGACAATAATCTTTAGGTTAGGTTATATAGAAAAACTTCAAATGTACAAGAGACTACGTAAATGCAAGAGATAAGTTATAAATAAAACTTGTGAAACGATATTGACAACCAATGATTTATGATAAATAAATAATTTGCAAGACTTTTATTAAACAAACGTTTTATAGATTTTTTTAGGTTAAATTATCGGTACATTCTATTGACATATAGTTTACTTGTATGACGCAATATCATTTAATAACAACACTTATATAACATTGACGAATTTAATGATAAAATGTTAATATACGTATATAATTGCTGAAAACTTACAACTTTCGTTTTAAATCACTGTCATAACCACAAATTACTTATTTCTACTTATTCCTGTTTTGATAAAGCTAGAGGCTGTGAACTCGCGTGTCCGATCAGTGGGTGTGTTTAGCCGAAGTTAGCGCTACGTAGCGCTACGTAGCGGCTTCATGTAGCAGTTGCAAGTGCTGCGTTACTTCTATAGAACATGCTGCGCGTAGCAATACTGTCCAGCAGAAGTAACGCAGCAATTGCAACTGCTACATGAAGCCGCTACGTAGCGCTACGTAGCGCTAACTTCGGCTAAACACACCCAGTGTCTAGTGTGAGCTCGTTCATTTGCTGCGTTCACAACAAAACAAGCTGCTTTGTAGCAATCAAACGTGATTGGCTCTTACTTTTAGAATCAACTAATTGAAGAACAGCAAAACAATTGCTAAGTTGTCGTCTTGTCAAAACTCGATGTTGATTGATTGGTTCTAACAGTAAGAGCCAATCATGTTCGATTGCTACAAAGCAGCTTGTTCTAACTGAACGCGACAATTGTGAGAAAAAGTATCGGGATATTTGCAGTTTCCCTACTTCATAATTATTTAATCAAAGGTGTTTTCTCTCTCGTTCATGCGCAGAACGAGGTTACAAGAGAGAGAGAAAGAAAGAGAGCGCTATTTCGGAACCCCTTTTCTATGTGCACCGCATAAAAGGTGCCGCATATTTTTTGATACGTACGATGGCGTACGCTCATTTGTACTATCAATTTTATTTTTTTTTTTAGATGCTGTTACTCTAAACGCTGTAAATTATTCAAGTTATTACTTTTTTAAAACACGGAATTTATAAAATGTAAGTAAAATTGCAAATATAGTTTTTTTTTCCTCTCTCTTTTTCTCTTTCTCTCTCGCGCGATACGAATATATCTGTTAAATCTTCATTATATTTGTATATATACGGGTATCTATTAAATCTTCATTTTATTTATCCTGTGTTTGCATATTTAGTCTATTTAAAAATAATGTTTAATAGATTTTACACATACATATAAACATTTACTTTAGATTGTACATTTTAGACACGTCTCTAAAATTCTGGCAGCATAAAAGCTTTGTGTTGTTTTATTATAAAATCGCACATTTCAATATTCTGCAAAAACGTACAATTTTATATATAAAGAGAACGGTAAAACGCGAATATAACTAAAATAAATGTTATAAGTGAAACTGAATAAAATTGAGTTTTTTTTCTCAAAAACTTTGATATATAAATGATAATTCTAACATCTCACAAAAGAGCTACGTCATACATATTACTTACATATTTAATTTAATGTATACCAATCGCTAAATATATAAATCAACAGAGCAATGGCACACAAAAGTTCACGAAATCAGTACGAATCAAAAACAAGCGCGCGTAAAAAATAATCTGCAGAATATTTATATAATTAAATAAATTATGAAGAGAGAGATGCAGTTAGAGATGTAATTAAAATAGAAAGCGTATCGATTTCCACACATAGACCTCATATGGGGTGTAATGTTCATGAAGAATCAATTTCCTGTTGGTATAATAGGACATTGTAGAAAATAGTCCATTCACTGTCAGTAGCTATTCTGTGATGCTCGTCCTAGTCGCCGATCGATCGGCTGCTCCTTTTCGAGGAGTCTGACAGCCGGTGCGCGGTGGGTGTTGTGCTCTCTCACGTACTCACACGGTACGTTAATAACGACGTGCACGCATGGAATTCGATAGATTGCGAGCGATCCGCCACTGAAATTCGACGTACAATCGGTAGTCGGGTTTCGCGAGTGGATTAGGCGGTCCGGATAAATTTTCAATTGGATCGCTAAGCTCTCTCTCTCTCTCTCTCTCCCTCTCTCTCTCTCTCTCTCTCTCTCGTCAGCGACTGACGATGCAATTACTTGTGCTGCCAATATATTTCAAAATAAGCAGACATATTTCACAGATATTTATATTTTGAAAGTATTTGCGTCGAGAAATCAATTTGCGTTTATTGGAAAATAATACATCATGAAATTACGCGATTTGTGAAAACTGCAACGAGATATCAAAATCAGAGAACAATACTTTGCACACGAGTAAAACGTTAAAAGTAACTAATTTTACAAAAAGTTTTATGAAAATTCGAAATATTTACGCGTTCAGCGACGGTGCTTCACCTTTGTTGGCCGAATTCATTTTGGCCAAAGTTACGGCTCGCCTTTGTTACTCGTTAGCCGAAAATCAATGCCTGGATGCACGGCAAAGCCGTCGTGATCCGCGCGTCCGATATTCCAAACGTTGAATGCACCTACTCTCCGGTTCGAAAACAGCACGAGTTCTCCATTTTGCTAGATTTACGAGCGAGCTCGCTTTAGTTTATACCCGTGTGTCCCGCTTGCTACTGACTGATTTGTGATCGTGGCGAGAAGAATTACATCCACGTTAGTGATATCCCGCGACCTATGTTGAAACGCGCACACACGTCTCTTCCGTGGTGTCGCGTCCGTCTCAACATATTTCTCACGCGCACGTCTTTAATTTTATCAAGCACTCTTTCAGATTTTGTTTTGTCGCTAAAAAAAAAAAAAAAAACACCGTCGAGAGAAATAGCGTGTGTTGTTGACACATTATACGCATGTTCCGATATTTCGCGCATCGTGATTTTCCAATAACACGTATTTTTGCGACACGTTGTTATTTATCGAGAGCCTCAGACAAATTGATATGCAAAAAAAATGTGATTAAATTTTGACAAAAAAAAGAATTACGCACGTGTGTGTTCGCGCATCGTGTATTTCCACAGTTGGCGCGAATAAATAAACATAATCATTTGATATATATAGCCGATATAGTGTATAACCGATTTACGATATTAATAATTATCGCCACAGACCGCGAGGCGACGCACGCCGCGAGATACTATAGTTGCGAATTTTATCTCGTTCGCACATAATGCGATGTCGCGATTCTACAATAATAATAACGCATTTATGCGGATTTGCAGTAAAAGCATGGGAGCGCGTCTATTAACATTTTCAGAATGTTCAACGTTTCGAGACACTGCGCCGATTATAAGAGTCCGATTTATACCAGAGTATATATCGGATTCCTATTATTGCTCATTGTTGGCGAATCTATCATTAACATCCGGATTATCCGAACGTAATTTTCATGTTACAATGCGCAATGTATTCGAAATGATGTTACACGTCGCGTATGACGTTCACAGCTCGCAACCAATTCGCTTAGAACAATACAACTAATCTCGCGTGTAAACATATATGTGTGTGTGTGTGTGTGTGTTGCGCTATTTTACGCAATTTTTTTCAACGTCGAATTTTCATCTTGTCAGTGAAAACTTGTGTACTATTTTAGAGAAAACTGCTTGCCGATGTGTCCGTTTTGCTTTTTTATTCGATCCTTGACAAGCGCGCGGATCAATTGAGAATAAAGATTAAATCTTCGAAATTAGAATGCCAACTGGCGATCGCGAACCGTCAGTAACGCGAATATAACACAATCGTGCGCTCCCGATGTGTCACCTTACGTATCTCGATCTCTTTTCCGTTTAAATAAACAAAAACTATATTTACAATAAGAGACAATTTGTTTCTTCGCTGATATTGCTTCTTCTTATCTTGCGTGACCCGCACAGTGAGAAATTGCAAACTCGTGCACGGAGTGCAATATTTGCGTATGCATGAGAGGATTTTTGAGTCCGTATTAATAATTCAACGGGAGTATTTCTCTTGTACCGAGTAACCTATTATCGATTTCCCCGGTAACGAAGTTCACCGCTGAAAATTAAGTTTCGGCTTTCGGAAAGAAAAATCCTCCTTTCGTTTTGGCCGTATAAAATAACTTAAAAAAAAGAAAAACAAAAAAAAAGAGAGAAACATTAGAGCGATTCTCGCGCGGTGTATTAATAATTCATGCGGCGTTCCTCCATTTCCATTGCGAGGGGAATTAAACCACTCGTTAAATAAATTCACTTAAAATTGAATTTCCCAAGAACGGGACAGAATATTTTTCGTCGTTTATTTCAGATAATATTATTTGGTAGGTTAATATTGTGCAGACGCGCCCGCGCGCGCGTATTATATGATAAAAGCTCCCCTCGCAAACAAATTTTTGTTCTTCTAAAATTCCATTATTGATCACGACGATATTACACCGTTATATCGATCATTAAAATTTATATTTATACCGCGACCTTGTGTGTACTTGTTTTATGTGACAAATTGCGGCTCAATTATATAAAGACGCTATTAATCCGAAACGCGATTGTTGTGACACATAATTTGCGTGATACGGGAAGCGGCGCGGCGCAGTTTCTTCGACAGACGAGATAGAGCACGTCATTAACTAAAGAAGTAATTGATTAATAACGCGCATAATTAACTTAAATGACGAAATGGATAATTAATTGTGTAGCAATTATACATAATGGCCTTCGCGCATATGTATAAATCGATATGGTAAAAATTGCCAATTACGCGCACACGTAACGCGCACTTATTATATTATACCGCAGTGAGAATAACACGAAGCCCCGTAATATACCAGATATGCTGCCGACGGTATATACCGGATCATTGTTGAATGTGGTGCAACGGGTTTTCATTACTCGCGAGTAATATACCCACGCAAAGACCGAAATGATTCGCGATGAAGCTCGGTATCGCGCGCGCGAAATCGAATAGCGAAAAGTTCAGTCGGAATTGACGAACGCTTCGAACATCGATATTTGCGAAAAGTAGAGAAAAAAGAGAGAGAGAGAGAAGTTAAAAAAATTTTTATATAAAGTTTTCCGTTCTCTCTGTTGACTATTATCTGTCCGGAACTTGTGCGCGCGGATGTGTGCGTTTTTTCGTACAACATTCGAAAAAAATTTTTTCCCTCTCCCGAAAAGTTTTTAACGGAATTACTTCTAGCAATTGGAAAGACGTTTCGTTTACGATAGTGGCGACCTTAAACTACGATTTCGCGAAGGTTGATTCTGGAAATACCCACAAGAAAATCGAAAGAGGGTCGTTGTGCGCGATGTGCTGGAAAATGATTAATTCTATGGATTTTCAATATCGAGGTCGTAACCGAAAGGGAGATTCATTTTAATGGCGATGTGCACGTCGTCGTACGACGCATCGATACACGCGAAGAACCTGATAACATCGTAATG